CACTAAGAGAAGGAAGAGGACACTGAGGAGGAGGGAGAGCACATTCCATGGAACTTTCCATAGAAATAATGAGAAAACAAGATCGTGATGTGGCACCTGTCAACTCAGTTTCGTGTTGTCAGAGTAGAACTGTGCTCCACAGGGATTTTCAATGGCTTGAATTTTCTGAGGCAGATCACCAGGCATTTCTTCTGTGGTACCTTCTGAATGGATTCTAACCTCCAGCTTTTCATTTAGCAGCCGAGAGTGTTTGCACCATTCAGAGATGCCTGATATAAGAGAGTCCACTCTCTAATTATCAGAGTTCTAATGTGGGGGGCAATGTGGAAGTCAGCTCCCAGATATTCTGTAGGAAGGTTCCCTGAACTGGGGGAGAGGCAGAAACGGTAGAACTTAAAAAGGTCCTTTCCATCTTCTAAGATTCTATGTCATGACCATCCCCCAGTTTAGAATTTCCTGGTATCCCTGCTTCATTCGTGTTCTGTACTCATTTGATCTATGCTTTTTATTCTTCCAAATTTAGAACTCAAGATGTTTCAGAAGAAAACAATCCAAATATAAAGAAAATCAAATTTCAAAAACTCTTTTGGAAATCAGCCAATCTATAGAGACTGTCTCTCATACTTCGGACATATTGTCAGGAGGGACCAGTCGCTGGAGAAGGGTATCATGTTTGGTAAGGTGGAGGGTCAGAGGAAAAGAGGAAGACTCCCCCAAGGAGATGGACTGAAGCGTGGCAACAATAGTGAGGTTGGTCCAGGATTGGGCAGTGTTTTGGTCTGCTGTTCATAAGGTCACTATGGGTCAGTATCGACTCGATGGCACCTAACAACAACAACAATAGAGACTGAACATGAATTGATTGTTGCTTAGGCTTGCAGAAGAGGACAGAGTAGCTAATGGGAACAGGGTTTTTGGCAGTGACAAAAATGTTCTAAAATTAGGTTATGGTGGTGGTTATATAACTTTGTTAGAACATTTAAAAACCATTGAATTGTACACTTTAAACCGGCGTATTTTATGGTACAGATCACATCTCAATAAACCCGTTTTTCAAAACGAACTCATTTTGGAAGCTCTGCAAAGGAATTTTCCATGTGTTATGATCATTCTCAGAAGTGCTTTGTGTGCTGCCTCCCAGCCCTGCACGCCAACCTTATACATCTTAGGTGTTCCTTCTGATGGAAAGACTGAGTATTAGTTAATACAGTCATTTGTTTTCACAGAACTCAGAGCCCACATGAGACACTCAATCCCGTCCTCGCTCCAAGTAACGCACGGGATGCATTACTGTGGTGAGCTCCGCCCAGTGACAGCCATTAGGACAAAACGGGTACCAAACACAGACACTGTGACGTCAAGCACTGTGTTTTAAAAAGCTGAACCCTAGATTCAGGCCTGCTGCATTTGTCAAACACCACAGAGCCTGGAGATGGCGCCCTGATGCTCTTCAGCCCTGGCTGGTGACCTCACGGGAATGCGAGCCTCAGTACAAGGAGCCCAAAAGAACAAAGCCTGCAGAGAGGGTCTGGAAGCAAACTTTCCCTCAGACTGAGAAGGGGATCCAGGGTCAGCGCTGAGGAATCTAACCCCCTTGTGAGAGAGTCACTGACTACTCATGACAAGTATATTCCTCAGAAGTCAGTATGCCAAATACCTCTGGCAGGGACCATGAGGGCCCCGTGTGGATGGCCAGGAGTATTTTTAGAAATCATGGGAAAGGTCTGTGTAATTCTCACGTGGCTTGGCCACAGGCACCTCTACATGCCTGATGCCCGGCCCAGCCTCGCAGGGTCTCTGAGAGTCATGACCCTCCAAATGCATTGTGGCCATGTTCCAAACCCACTGAACCTGGGGTCCAACTTTAGGTAATTCTATCCAAGGGCACAATGAGATCCACTGATTCAGCAAAGATACCCTGCACTTCACCCAAGTCAAAAGGAAGCGTCATACATGCTTGCCAGGCAAAAATTACCAACCAATGTGTATGTTTTACATAAAACTACTACCCACACACACTGCACATATACATATCCTACATGCATATAGATACAACATACACATACACACATATAAACACACACACCCATATGTCTGCATGTAATATACAATACACCAACATACATACACACCCCACCTGCCTATACACAAATACACAATACACACACACATAAACACATTTATATACAATGCACACATATATAATACACATGCATATATACACATATTTATAAACACACACACATACACAACACACATGTGACATACATGGGTATACATACTTATAAACACACATATACACAACACACACATTATGCAATACACACACTTATAAACACACATACATAAATTATATATATATATATACACACACACGTGTGTATTTATATATGTGTGTGTGTGTGTATATATGAAACACAAGGAGCTCTGGTAGCATAGTGGTTACGAATCGGGCTGTGAACTGCAAGGTCAGCAGTTCGAAACTACCAGCTGTTCCGTGGAAGAAAGATGAGGCTTTCTGTTCCCGTAAAGATTCACAGCCTCGGAAACCCCGTACAGGGTTGCTATGAGTCGGAACCAACTCCACAGCACATAACAACAATGTATATATAATATACACACATAAAAACACACATATCTACAATACACATATCTATAATACACACACATATATACAAATCACACACATATAAACATACCCATGCACACATATACAATACACATACACACACATACAAGTGCACACACTACACACACCCCGCAAGCAATCATCTGCACACCCAAACGTATCTGTACCATGCATCTGCACACACACAGCTCACACGCACCTTGACAGCTGAGGCAAAGACCCAGGCTGCAACAAGAGAGCCAATGAAGGGAATGCCCAGAGCGGTTAGAGGGAAGACAGGTGGAGAATCACACAGTAGACATGGCGTTGTCTCCATTACCTGAAGGCCTGGCTGCTCCCAAAACAGCGGAACGGAGCCTCGGATCTGAACATAAGACGACACCCCATCATCCATGTAAATTGTCTGTGCCGGGAGGAAACATAAAGGGAGAGAGATTCTTCAATGAAACTGAGCGTCCGAGGCGGCGTAACCGGATCCCACCACTGAGATCCAACACCAGCCAGCCCGAAGGGCAGACAGTGGACTGCAGTGCCCTGCTCCTCTGGCCAGCACAGTGGGGCTGCGCCCTGACCCTCAGCTAAGACTGGGAGCCAATGGGCCTGCTGGCTGCTTGCTGGGTGGCCTCCCACACCTGGTATCCAAGCCACCTCCCAGAGCATGACCAAGTGCCCCGTCCCCAGGGTCAGCTGGAGCTGGCGGGGAATGCACTCTTCTCAGGGCATGACCTTACTGACCCACCCCATGTTACGAACAGAGCGGCTATAATCTCAGATTTCATGAAGACCCTGCCATCAAGTTGGCCATGACTGAAGGAGACCCCATGCATAGGAATTGAGCCTGGGTCTCCCTGTGGAGGTGAGAATTCTAACACTGAGACCCCACTGCCCCTAACAGCCTCCCTTAGAACCTTTCACTTTTATCTTGTCACATCGCAAAGTGGCTGAGTTATTAGGGCTGAATAAAATACAGTGAATAACTACACCCAAGACGCAGCTGACCACACTAGTAGATTTTGTGCTTGGAGATGCAAGCCCTGGTCATATGTTCTACAGATCTCTAGGTCAACACATAATATGGGTTCCAGAAGCTTCCCAAGTGATAGCACCTCTATGGAAACAAATGAGACTTCCATCTTCAAAAACAGGCTCCCTCCCATGCTTATTTCAGAGGGGAAACCTCCTAGTGGACCTGTAGGCCTCTAGGTGCAGAGCAAGGGCAATTTAAGGGGACACAAACGCAGTTCTGGGCGTCCCAGGGGAAGGCCGGGCTGCTATCAGATGCTCGGCCTTTATCTGGGTAATGGTATCCTGGTTTGGCAGGGCTGGCCGGCGAGGCTGTGCGTCCTTTCCACTTCTCAGCACGGGGTAGCTTTCCATGTGGGCAGAACACACTCAGGTGGCACATGCATTAGTCATCCCGCAGCAGAGGACTTGGAGAGCAGACCTGCAGGCTATGTGGACTCCAGCAATGATGTGTGCCTGCCAGCTGAAGCATCAGACTCAACGTCTCCCCATTAGTGTCCAGAAGAAAATAACACCAGGGTAAGCACTTGCTGCCTGTTTCCAGATTTCAAGCACCATCAAGTCTGTCAGACCCGGTCATTCTATGAAGTCTTCTGTTAGTTTGTCGTACTGTGGTGGCTTGCATGTTGCTGTGATGCTATGTCACCAGAATCTCACACACATGGGTCACAGGAGGAGACAGATTTCAGTGGAGCGTCCAGACTAAGAGCAGGAAGAAAAACCTGGCAATCAACTTGTAAAGAAATAACCACTGAAAACCTTAGGAGTAGCAGTAGAATATTATCTGATACAGTGGCAGAAGATGAGCCCCAAAGATGGAAAGCACTCAGATATACCTGGGGAAAAGCTTCCTCCTCCAAAGAGAGACCACCTTAGTGACATGGATGGTGCAAAGCTTTGGGGACCTTCATTTGCTATGGGCTATGACTCGTAGTAGAAGAATTGATGCCTGTGAGTTATGGTGTTGAAGGAGAATACTGAAAGTGCCATGGACTGCCCCAAACACCAATAGATCTGTTTTGGAAGAAGTGCAGCCAGAGTGCTCCTTGGAGGCCAGGATGGCTAAGCTTCGTCTCTCATACTTTGGACATATTGTCAGGAGGGAACAGTTGCTGGAGAACGATGTCATGCTGGGTAAGATGGAGGGTCAGAGAAAAAGAGGAAGACCCCCAACGAGATGGATCAGCCAGGTGGCATCATTGATGGTGTCAAGTGTGGCAGCGGTAATGAGGTTGGCCCAGGATCAGACATTGTTTCGTTCTGCTATATATGGGGTCGCTATGAGTCGGTTCCGACTCGATGGCACCTGACAACAATGACTCAAAATGAGAAGAAACAACTGTAAACATCCACTGATATTCAGAATGTAGAATCTGACTAACAGAATTGGAATAGAAGAGCGGTTTGTATAACTTCTCGCGGGTGCTGCAAACACACACACACAACAAGGCGAGGTGCATAAATCTGACCATCAGTTTTGACTCACAATCCACAGGGCTGAACAAGAACCAAGCCAGCCAGGCTCTCCCAGAAAGCCAACTCTTCGCAATGCCCATGATCCGGTTTAAGCTAAGAAACCATTACCCTTCCTCCTCTGATTAATGCTGCCGTCTACTTCCGACAGTCACCAATTTCTCTTGAGTTTCAACTTGTGCAGATTCAGCTCTGCAGAAACTCTGGGTGAGAAGAAAAGATCCCTCCAAGTGTCTACACCCACTTCCTCCCACAGGACAAGCACATTCTAGTGCTAGGCTCCATCTTGTCCCTAAGGCCACCTTCTTGGTTCCCAGAGCGATGACGCATACCCAACTCTCAAACACTAATGAGGAATCTACTGTGTTGTCATTCTGGGTGATGGAGTACGGAGCCTCACCTCACAGACAAAATCCTAACGGGGTCTTCAGACCCATGGGAGTGGGGGGTGGGGGAGAGGCAGATGGGAGCATGGAAGACCAACATGGCCAAGTTCCATTCTCCAAACTCCCAGCTGCTCAGCAGGGTGACCCTCCCTGTGTCTGTCCCTGTCAGTGCACCACCTGGGGCAGAGAGGGGACGTTGATGTGAGGAGCCAATGAAGGCACGTGACCCTACACACCAAGGGCTCACACAAAAACTAGCTCCTCTTTGTTTAGGGTGACGGGCTGCCCTGTGCTCATGGGCAAGGCCCCCGGTGAGGAGGGAGGGAAAGGAACGGTTGGGGTCAGAAGACAGGAACTGTGCTTCAGCTGTGGAAGACGGAATGTACAAAGGAACAGAGGGTGGAAGGGAAACCCAGGGGGCAGTTCAGGAGGGAGGGATCCCCATGCCAGCGCCAGGAGGCCAGGATGGGGGCGCTGGACTTGACCACCAGGAAGCCCAAGTTGACTCTGAGCAGCCCCTTTCATGGAGCGGTAGAAGCAAAAACAAAAAAGCCATCCAAAGAAGGGGACGAGGCAGGAATATTTGAGATTGTGTAGTTTTATCTACAAAGCTCTTTGCTGAACTACTTCCTGATGTTGTTGTTGTTGTTAAGTGCCGTCGAGTCGGTTCCAACCCCTAGCGATCCTGTACAGGGTTTCCTGATGAGGTAGCAGCAAAACAAGTCTGCATTCTCGGGGCATGCATGAATCTGAACCTCCCAGCACCAACCGGTGGTCTTATCTTCCTTCTGAAGCCAGGAAGTTATCTCTTTGCGGTGTGTGTCTGTTGGGGGGAGGCTAGATGGTTTCTGCAGGATGAGTCATGGCTGTAAAGCAAATCCTCAGATGTGACTCAGCACAGCACTGAAGACGCAAGGCTTCCTGTGAGGGGATCAGAGACGCCCCCACACACACACACGATCTCACATACACACAACTCTACCACATATGTGCACTGCCTCACATACATACTCACACTCTCTCATGCCCTCATATACACACATAACTCCCTCACACATACACACTCTCACACACCTATCCCCTCATGCACACACACTCACAAGCACCGTCACACACTTATTCACACACACACACCTGGCCCGGCCCTAGCAGCCAGTGTAGACCAGAGCAGGAAACGCGTCTCCCCCAGCTCCTGAGGACTGACTGCCGGGAGCAGCTGACGCCTGTTGACCTCCCTACACAACAGGGAGCTAGTCTGCTCCTTAGGGGGTCTCTGGCTGCCAAATGACGAAGCTGCTGCCTGCATGTCTATGGGGACCGCTACTTCCCAGGGGCTGTGGGAGCAGGCTGAGTCTCACAGCCTTACCCCAGGCCCTCAATACCAGAGGGCCATCACCAAGTGTGACAGATCCTGAACACCTCCCCTCAAAGTTGTTACCTGTCACCCTGGGATGAAGAGAGCCATTTCTTTATGTGTAGTCCCACAGAAGGCAACCCCACACGACCTGAATGAAGTAACCCACTTTGATTCACTCTGATTTGAGGGACCTTAAGATGGAGCCCTTGTATGGTGCTGTAGGATAAACACTGAACTACTAACTTCAGAGTTGGCCATTCAAAGGCACCAGCCACTCCTCAGAAACCCTACATAGGGTAACCTTACACGGGGTCACTATGAGTCGGAAGCAACTTGACCACACATAACAACAAAATTTGCTACTTCACCATAATCAAAGCCACCAAGGCCACATCATGAGGGGCAGACTCAATCCCTGGTGCTACCACCAGACACAGCAGTCCCCACACTTAGGGCATTACTAACGTAAGGAAGCCTGGTTTCTGTGAAGGCCTGACCCAGGATCCCAGTCCTAAGAGCATCTCAGGTCTTCCCCTAAAACGCTAGATTTACTCATGGTCCCAGGGGCTGGGGAAGAGAGGAGTGGGGGTTAATGTCCCTTTGTCAACAGATAGTGACAACTGCTAAGTGCCTGGGACTCTTGGAGGGGTGGAAGACAAGGCTGCCATGCATAGAGAACACCAACAAGCAGAAACCCCAAATCAAAACCAAACCCACTCACTCACAGACTCTGACTCAGAACAGAACAGAACAGCTCCTTTGGGTTTCTGAGATGATAAATCTCTACCGGAGCAGACAGTCCCCACCAAAACTTTACAGAAGTCCTAAGGGCTCTTCTGTCATGTTAATGAGATCATAAGGGAGCAGGCTGGATCCTAACCCTAATCCCTTCTGAGTGAAGTCTTACTGAAAAAGCACACACAGTGGGCAACACTGACGTTATGTAACAATGGAGAGGGATGAACTCATAGGCTCAGGAACACCCAACACTGCAGCCACCGGTTAGAACCTGAAATAAAGGAAGACCTCCCTTAGATCCATAAGCTGAAACCGACATCCAGCCTTTAAACTTTGAGAAATACATTTCTGGTTCTCTAAAGCCACTACCTTGTGGGCTCTTTGTTTTGTTTTTATTTATATGGCAGGACGAGGTAAGGAAGACAC